GCCTCCTGGGCCGTGGCCCACCACTGCGCCCAGCCCGGAAGCATGCGATTGGTTGCCTTTTCTCCTCACCAGCCCCATTTCCTACTTGTGTTTTGTTTTTGGGGACATTTTTCATAATTATTTAAAAGACAGAAAGCAAGGGGTGCCTAAATCTGGAATTGGGGTCTGCCGCTGAGTAGCGGGGTTCAGCCCAGCCAGCACCCAGTGAGCCCTGCCTCTTTCGAAGCCCAGAGTGGGGAGTGGTGGCCAGCAGGTATGAGCGATGCACACGGTGCAGAGCAGCCTCCTGGGCCCGCCTCTCCCCAGCTAGTAGGCAGGCTCTGAACTCGTTCAGCTTCGGTCTCTGCTGGCCAGCGGCTGCTGCCCACCCCAGCCCTCCAGCCATGTGTCTGCCTGGCCCGCACAGACCAGATTCCGGGGTTGGGAGTGGAACCATCCCCACCTCAGGGTTATCTTTACTCCTTCCTTTCCCTCCCTGCCACGAGTTCTGTCAGGGGCGGGCGAGAAAAAAAAAAAAAAAAAGAACCCCAGAAACAAACCACCTCTACATATTAAGGAAAGAAAATATTTTTGTCAATTCTTATTCTTTTATAATTATGCGTGTACGAAGTAGGCTCATTAAACGATTCCAGATGGAAGCGTGGCCACTGCCTGAGTTTCCTTCTAAGCCCTGGGGATGGGGATGAGGGCCTTTTGGAAAGTGCAGGGTCCAGGAGGTGGCAGAGCCAAAGGCATGGCAGTCTTTGTAGTCAGCCCTGGACACCTTGGCACGAAAGGGAGGGACACCATGCGCTGCTCCTCCGAGTGGTCCAGTGAAGACAGCCCCCGCAGTTCTGATGTGTCACTCGGAATCCAGCATAGGATGTGGAGGGCGGTATAGACAGCCCTCCAGGCTTTCCCAGGGCAACAGCACAACCCAAGGTACAGCATCCTTCTGGCCGAATGCCCTGTGGGCCACCATTACTTCCTTTTGCCCTGTGCTTGTCCAGAGACATGACTCCGTGCTTCAGGCATCAGGAAAACCCCCTCTTCATGTTTGTCCTGACAGCAGAGAGATCCAGGAGGACTGGAGACGGTGCCTGTGTATGCGGCACGCAGGGTATTTGAGTTTCTGACAGAATGGCCTTGCTGAGTGCAGTCATCCTCTCCATCCTTTGGGAAGCTCTACCTTTATTTTTAATTGCTTAAAAAATAAGTACAAAAGGCTATTAGGGAGGAAAGATGCCCTTCGTCCCAAGTCTCTATTTTTAATAGCTGCATTCTATTCAGCTTTATGAATGTTCTATAAATTATTTTGCCAGGAACCTATTAAGGGACTAATAAAAGTTATTCTGGACCTTTTATATTAATCAGTATAAGGGTCAGCTGGCCTCTGTAAAGAGCCAGATAGTAAATATTTTGGGCTTTATAGGCCAGATAATCAGTGTTCCAACTACTCAACTTCACCCTTGTAGTTCAAAAGCAGCCACCAATGATATGTAAAGTGTAGGTTTAGCTGTGTGCCAATAAAACTTTATTTACAAAACCAGGCATCTAGCCAGATTCAACCCACAGACTGTAATTGGACAATTCCTGGTGTAAATGATACTGCAACCAATAGCCTTGTACATATTTTGGGTATATGTTTAAGTTTATTGGGTAAATTCCTAGAATTATTAAAGGCATATTCATTTTTAATTTTTGAAGAATACTGCCAACTTGCCTTCCAAAGAGAACGCCTCGGTGTGCACTTTGCCAAGAGGGAAGAAGAGTCAGTTTCTCCATTCCTTCACCAGTATTACGTGTTTTCAAACATTTTTATCTTCAATCTTAAGAGGTGAAACATGGCATCTCACTGTAACTTGAACTAAAAAATTTTTTATGTGTGGGAATATTTTCATGTTTTAAAGACACTAATTTACTAGTAATAATTTGCCCCCTTTCTTTTGATCTATTGACCTCATTGGTTTGTAGACACTATATATGAAGGAAATTAGTTCATTGTCATACAGGTTGAAAATTGAACTATGTTGCTGATTTCAAAATGTTTTACGGGTAGGATGGCTAAAATCATCTCAGGAACAAGATGTCTTTTACTTAACCCACTGTGAAATAAAATGGAGAGGAAACCAGTCCTAAGTCACAGAATGGTAGAAACTGGTGAGAAAGAGGACTCGGGGGTTGCCCCAGGAGACTTGGCAGCTGGCAACCCTCAATCATGTCAAAGCAGGAACTCGTTGTCATAACCTTCTCCCCCTGCCTCACCCAGTCAACATTCAGGTTGTCATGAGACAGCATCTGTTGGCCAGACTTCAGTCAGTCACACTCCTGCCCTGATAATGAGGTCTGGGAACAAGTGGGGTGCCAACAGGAAGGGGGAGTGAATGGTGGGCAGCTACAGAAGGACAGGTGTCTGACAGAAGGTCTCGGTATCTCGAGATGGCAGGTTAGAGATGTCTTTTTCTTCCTGTTGATACATGGCCAGTTTCCTCCACCTGATGGGGATTCCATGAGCAGGAGGGTCCCTGATGCTATTTGAGGTTCCCTGTGCACGTGCTTGATTCCTTTCCCAGTATAAGTGCTCATCTCTTCCCTAACTGGCAAGAACCCATATGTGGTAGACGTAAAACCCTGTGTCATATCTACTGCAGATATTTTCCTGGTTTGTCATTTTCCTTTCAAACATGTTTATGGTATTTTTCAAAAATAACTAGATACAGCCCAGCCAGTGTGGCTCGGTGGCTGAGCACCGATCTATGAACAAGGAAGTCACGGTTTGATTCCTCAGCAGGGCACATACCTGGGTTGCAGGCTCGATCCCCAGTCAGGGGTGTGCAGGAGGCAGCCGATCAGTAATTCTCATCATTGATGTTTCTATCCCTTTCTCCCTCTCCCTTTCTCTCTCTGAAATTAAAAAACATTTTAAACAAATAATATCTAGGAAGTTGCAAAAATGGCACAGACAGTCCCATGTACCCATCCCCCAGATTACATCTTACATCTTAACCATAGTACATTGTCAAACCAGGAAATTGACAGTACAATGTAATTCCAGTGGTCGGCAAACTGCGGCTCGCGAGCCACATATGGCTCTTTGGCCCCTTGAGTGTGGCTCTTCCAAAAAAATACCGACTTCTGCGCATGGGCCACGAAGTTTCAGTCGCACTGTACATGCGCACCTGCACGTGGTATTTTGTGGAAGAGCCACACTCAAGGGGCCAAAGAGCCATATGTGGCTCGCGAGCCGCAGTTTGCCGACCACTGGAATTACATTGTACTGTCAATTTCCTGGTTTGACAATGTACTATGGTTAAGATGTAAGATGTAATCTGGGGGATGGGTACATGGGACTGTCTGTGCCATTTTTGCAACTTCCTAGATATTATTTGTTTAAAATGTTTTTTAATTTCAGAGAGAGAAAGGGAGAGGGAGAAAGGGATAGAAACATCAATGATGAGAATTACTGATCGGCTGCCTCCTGCACACCCCTGACTGGGGATCGAGCCTGCAACCCAGGTATGTGCCCTGCTGAGGAATCAAACCATGACTTCCTTGTTCATAGATCGGTGCTCAGCCACCGAGCCACACTGGCTGGGCTGTATCTAGTTATTTTTGAAAAATACCATAAACATGTTTGAAAGGAAAATGACAAACCAGGAAAATATCTGCAGTAGATATGACACAGGGTTTTACGTCTACCACATATGGGTTCTTGCCAGTTAGGGAAGAGATGAGCACTTATACTGGGAAAGGAATCAAGCACGTGCACAGGGCCATGCTTTTGTTCCGGCCCTCCGGTCCAGTTTAAGAACCCATTGTGGCCCTCGAGTCAAAAAGTTTGCCCACCCCTGCCTAGCCAGTGAGCCAAACCTGTTAGGGCCTGTTGTTTCTTTTAAAACTGCTGGGTTTCACGTCATGACTAGAAAGCAGGATCTTTGGAATGATGGCTTTTCCTTTAAACTCCCTTAGTGTGTGTGTTGTGTATGTGTGTTTTGAGGCAAAAAGGAAAAACAAGAGGCTTGGGGCTCAGTCTTTCTAAACACACACACACACACCTACCTCTCTTTAGTAGGATACCCAGTCAGCTCATAATTGAAACACAATGTGTTGTTAACAACAGCTCTTGGTCACTAATTAAATTCTCCATAGCGACAAGCTGAAGGTCAGATGCAGGTGGGAATAGGAAAGACATGAATGGAACCATGCTGTGTAAAACACCAAAAACACAGGACAGCAGAACCAATTTCCAATGAACCCAGGAGGAAATTTCTTAACACAAGCAGGTATCTCCATTGAGGGCAGGCTGCCCCTGCCAAGTGGTGTGAATTCTGAAGTCAAGGTTATCTGGGAGCCGTCGGCCTCTACAGGAGCCTCCTGACCTCCCGAGACTGACCTTCATCCTGGGTGGGGGGTGTGCAGTAGAGATTTGATTGTAACACAGCCCAGCCTAAGGGTTACCTGTGACATTTTCTCTCTTCATTCTGTTCTTTCAAGTCAGGAAGAACCAGGAAAAGAGGCTGAATTCTGGACACTCCTGGCCATCGGGGTTTCTTAAATCCTAAGCAATTTGTGGCCCCCCCCCACACACACACACAATGATTCCTCCTGTAGTTGAAAATCTGGGATTTCTTCATTGGCATCTAGTGCTAGCAGCACCGAGAATTTAGAGTTCTCACCTGCAGTCCCTCCATCAATCCTCCTGGCAACTCCTGAGGTGAGGACTATTTTCTCTTAGATTTTTTATTTTGAAATAGAATTCTCTCATGTCCCTTGCTCATCTTCCCCCAATGTTAACATGGCACAGGCCAGGTATTGAAGCCAGGAAATGAACATCAACACAATCCTATTATAGACACAGACACAGACACAGACAGACCTTATTTGAATTTCAGCATTTCTCCTGTGAAGTCATTTTTCTGGTCCAGGACTGTTATGGGTTGAATATCTGTGTCTCCCCAAATTCGAGTTGAAGCCTAACCTCCAATGTGACTATTAGACGGGGAGGTTGGGGTGATGAGGCCATGAGGGTGGGGCCCCAGGACAGGCCGAGGGCACAGCCTGCGAACCGGGACGTGGCCTCACAGACGCGCAAAGCGCTGGAGCCGGATCCGCCCTCCCGGCCTCCGGAAGGTGAAAAGAAATGTGTTTTTGCCCCCGAATCTCTGGTATTTTTACAGCAGCCGGAATTCAGACAAGGACCGGAGCCAGGACCCTCGAATTGCAGCTTAGGGTCCGGATCTCCTTACTCTGTGACGGTTCCTCAGCGTTGTCTTTCATGACATTCTAACTGCTGGTTATCTTGTAAAACATCCCTCAACTGAGGTTCGTCTGATGGTTGCTTATAATTAGACTAGAGGCCCGGTGCACAAAATTTGTGCAAGGGGGGTGTCCCTCAGCCCGGCCTGCACCCTCTCACAATCTGGTACCACTGGCTCCTAACCGCTTGCCTTCCTGCCGCCTGATTGCCCCTAACCACCTCTGCCTGCCGGCCTGATCGCCCCCTAACTGCCCTCCCCTGCTGGCCTGATCGCCCCTAACTGCCTCTGCCTTGGCCCCCCGCCACCATGCTTTGTCTGGAAGGATGTCCGGAAGATGTCCAGTCTAATTAGCATATTACCCTTTTATTAATATATATTGCAATCCAGCATTTTGGACAGGAATCCAGAGGTGCATCCCGTGGGCGCCCCAGGACGCTGCAGTCTCATTTTTGGTGATGTTAACTTTGATCACTGGGCTAAGGTGGTGTCTCTATTGTAAAATTACTCTTTTTCTTGTTGTCATTAATGAGTATCTTGGGGGAAAATACTTTGAGTTTATGCAAACATCCTGTTTCTCATAACTTTCCACCACCCATTTTTAGTATCCATCAAGGGATCTTGGCTGCAACGATTATGAGGTATTTTCCCAGCGGTCATCTTCCATCTCCCTCACACAGCTTACGTTCACTAGTTTAAACTTTAGTGGCTCCCTTTTCTTTCCCTCCTTCCTTGTACCGTCACTAACTGGAAGAGCTGCGTTTAGTGAGGGCCGATGGAACCGAACCAAGACCACTCAGCGCGCCGGCCCGCCCTGCACTCCCAAGCCCCGCCCCGCCCCCCAAGCCCCGCCCCAAGATGGCGGCCAGAGGGAGGCAGGGC